CAACTTCTGCCCCGTGACTAAAGCCCGTGACTAAAGTGAAAAATAGTGGTGCTTTGAAGGTGAAAGTAGAAAAAATAACGCATAAGTATGTAGGTAATATTGTATTTTGATATAATTTAATAATTTTTTGACCAAAAATCAATTTTATTTAATTTAATTTCTTATAAATTTCATAGGTTTTTATTTATTTTTGCTTATAATTATTCTCAAAAAAAAAATGCTTGAATGAATATTGTTTAAAGTTTTAATTTATATTTTATATTAAAGTCAAGACATCATTTAAAATAACATAAAAGACCTTCGCGACGCTATAAAACAACGAAAAACAAAACAGAAAAGAAGAACTTGATTACTTTTATGCACCTCATGACTTATGCTATGCCATCATAAAATTACCTTCGCTAGAACATTATATTATTCGCATTAGTTTCAAATAAATCAAGCGGATTATCATTTTGTCAAAATCCGAAAATTTACATCTGCAAAAATATAGCAAATTTCAAATGCCATTTTAAATCAGTGGGTATTATAAGTATAGTAAAACAAGCTTAAATTTTAAAGACTCAAGTCAAAAATAAATCATGTACTTATATAAAGATAAAAGCTAAACAAAAAGAAAAAAAAACGTTGAGATGTTGAACGACGCCACAAAACAAAATACGCGAGGCCAGCAACCATCAAGACACATGACACAAAACATAAGGCACTAATGTGTTTTTAATTAAAAAATAAATTTTTAAATTTTATGTCCAATTTTCCTTTGATTTCATTGTGCAATTAATTCAGTTATTATTTGCAATATTCGAACTTTTATTATAGGTGGGCTATGTTCAGAAGTTATATGTCAACTCAAACATAAAATAAATGACCTTTGAAATTTATGTAAATAATAGTTTTACAACTCATACGATTCATTCATAGATTTTATTTAAATGCCCCCCGAATCGATTATAAAGTTGTTGAACCGCTTCGCTCGGCGGCATCGCGCGTTTGAATTTGTTGAATAAATTAAGCGCTCGCTCGCTCGCGTCGTTATAGGATTTTCGGTGCGGCGAATGAATTAGTGTTTTCATTTGTTTCGTTCGGTTTATGTGGAGTGCGTCTGCGTCGATGGGATGCCATTATGGTCCGTCTGTCCGCGGTCATTAAAAAAGAAACCGTAAATCGCTCACAGGTAGAGATTATTATTATATCGGGCCCCGCGCGCCTATTACGCACGCAGCGACACACAACACACACACACACACTGCTGCTGAAGAATTCCTACCACACAGAGCAAATTAACGCAATTAAAATATTATTGACAATTATTTCCAGCCGACGTTCGATGCTAACCACAAATGAAATGTGTGGTATGTAGGTATGTGGAGGAATCAGGTTAGGCATTGCGCTTTGCGCATGCGCAGATTAGTTGTATTATAAGTTGCGTAAAGTTGAAAGTTTAAAGCCACGCGTTTCAACTAATAGCTACCGGTTAATTGCAGGGGTGTGTGGCGAAAGGGCGTTACGACGCATCAGCGCCGCACACATCCGCCCTCCTCGTTTGCACCGCCGAAGAATATCTTGCTTTATTTGTGCGTTAAGCCTACAGAGGCGGCAGGTTAGCGATTTTTAATTAATTAATTTAGTTTTTAAATAAATAACAACAGGCTGGGTAATTGAAACAAGCACTAATGGACGGTTTTGGGTGTATTATTACTATAGAATTTAATTTTTGCATATGAGCCGCTTATTTTGAAAGTGGCCTAACTCCATTTATCTTCAAATCGAGATATTGAAAGTTTTGCGTTTCAATGAATTTAAAAATATACGTATAAGATACAAAGGAGTCATACTGCTTAAGCGTATCTTAGGATGTTAAATTTAAAGTTCCTGTTAAAATAGTGGCAATTATTAAGTAAATAACGTGCGTTTCCTTATCAAGAATGGAGTTGGGCCACTTTCAAAATTAACAGCCAGATTCATTATAAAATTTGAAAATGCCCAAGTCCATTCAACATAATTTAAGATGTTTCAAATTGAAGAAAAAAAACGTCTTCGTTTCACAGACAGCTTCGTGAAGTAATACATTTTGTTTGTTAAAATCTGCCAAACCCCAAAACTTCTTAAAAATATTCTTTCTTTCTTCTTCATTATAATTTTTTGTGCACGCATTCCGACAACCACAATCTTTGTTTTCGAAATTTTTTTCATGAACAATACTTCCGGTTTAACTGCAATATCTTTTTCCTGAATTCCGTTTTATCTTTCGCACTTTTTGGATATATGGTGCATCAATCTTTTCTCCATTGTTATTTGAATCTTCATCCTCTGACGAGGAATATTGTTTTATAACTCTTTTTCTTATTCGCTTTTTTTTTAATTAGGTATTAATTACTATATCTTTTTCACTATCTGAACTAAGTGGTCTTCTTCGGTTCTTCCTCATGGGTGCAATAATTTCTATAATTTGATAGTAAATTTTAAGTTTTATATTAATTAAACGTACAGGTTAATTAACTAACGCAATTGTCCCAAAAATGAGGTGGACTTGTAAATACTAATTAATTGAAATTACCTTCATCGCTGCTTTCCGACATTATCAATAGTAAATACCTTGATGTAACTATAAATGGAGTTAGGCCACTTTCAAACCACACGGGTCAGTTATTCAATTAATTCGGAAAACCTATGTGTAAAAAATGTACCGTATTTTCTCTGAATATAAGCAATCTGAAGTGCGTCACTGATAAATAACATGAAGTTGTACATGTAACCATGGTAACCGGCAAAAATTGAAAAACGGAGTTAGATCACTTTCAAAATAAACGGCTCATATAATGAAGCTATTATTTGCAAAAATTAAATTTTATTGATTTTATTGGCAAATGCAGTGTCAAATGCATTAAAATTTAAATGGTATAATCTATAATATAAAAATTAATCGCAAAATCTGTTTGAAAGCGCATAACTCAACAACACTTAGATCAATTTGGCCAATTATTTTTTTTAAATGTTCGTTAAAGTCCAAGGATGGTTTTTTACGGCGAGAAAAATTCGAATAATTGCCGGGAAAACCCTAAAGGCAGCTCTTTTCTATAGGATAAAAGTTGGCATTGAGATTCAATCATAGTTACCTATAGTTAAATAGTTGAATCCGAGATGGCGCGCTGAAGTGCATTATTATGCATTATTTATATAATTAAATTCATTAAAATAAAATTGCGAATCTTATTGATAGAATTGACACATACCTACTATGTTTAGAACAAGAGAGTAAAACGAAATACATTTTTATTAAACACCACCGGGACGAAGTCTCGGGCAAAAGCTAGTCTTACAACAAAAATTGATATGCTATGTTCGATACTTGTACTGCAACTCCGACATAATTTTTTTTAAATTTTTTTATTAAATTAAATTAAAAATATTAATAAATACCTATATAGGACTTTTTTATTTAGTTGGCAAAATATTATTTTGGTGTAAAATGATTCAATTTAATAAAATAACTTTTTCAAATGATGATTGATTGATATTAAAAATTTGTAATTGCCGCACACTTTGTTGCAAATGACACGCGACTAATTGGAAGACAAAACGAAATCATTTTTTGATTTGTGATGAAAGTTGTGATCACTCGCGGCGGTTATAAATCCAATCACGGGGGCTCCAACACAAAAGCCGGGGTGGAAAAAAATGGAAAATAATTTGTCGCATTTGTTCGACGTGCGCGTCAACTGTTCGCAACGAACGTTTTGAAAGTATAATAATTACAGAAAACGTCAATAAATAACACATCAAAGCCGTTTACGTTTATGAATTACACTCTTAGGTAAAATTTAAATTCTCTATAAATAGACTAATTTTATATTTTTTGATGCTTTGATATTTGATAATATTTTAATAACATTTAATGACTTCGATTAAAAAGCCGATTACTTTGAGCTGTCATGTCTCATACCGCACACACACGTGAAATGAAATAAGAGTTTGGCCCGCGTCGAGAGTAATATATGGCCGGATGGTTGGTGAGGTTAGTTTTTTTTTTTGATTATTTGACGGGGGTGCGAGCGTCGGAAAGAAATTACACGAAAACGTAGAGCGCTGTGCTGCGTTTTTTCTTACCTCGAACTTCTTGACAGTTTAATCGCCATAAATTGGGGTCGTCGGGCGACGAGGGAATGAATTATATCGAATTAAAATTTAGAGAGGAATTAAAACAAATTAAAAATCACATCATCGAAATACGTACAATCTTACGAATCGAAACGTGCAAAAACCATAAATCACTTTGTTTTAGAACATTTAGGAAACATCGTAATTCATTCAAATTAAATGTGGAAGAATGGAAAACGTATTAGTTGGTTGTGTTAGTGTCGGAATAACAGTAAACAACCTTTATTTCATGTGAAATCTTTGGTTAAACTTTAAAAAACATCAATAAATATCTAGAAATTTTAATTTCGGTAATATAGGCAACCAATACTACACCAACAACAAAATAACGTATGATTTTAAATTGTATTTGATTTTTATAGTAAACCGTCGTAATTCTTAAAAACTAAACAATTATATATGCAACCAAAATCACGCTTAACCTTAAAACTCTTTAGTAAAACGCGGCGTGTACATAGTGTGTTCTGGTTCTGGTTGCGGCTCGGCGTTAAATCCGTCGCACGCGTTGATACATATCTAAATTGGTGTGTAATTGTCGCACACGACGCTCGCGTGGTTAAGAGAGCTTGAAATTGCGCGCTCCCCTGCGCGACATTTGCATATCCTTAAATAATCGACGATGCGTCGCCGCGTACCGTGCCCCCTTCGGACTCATTTGCCTATCGCCGTTCCCCATCCGCCAGCGACCCTCGCATATGGCACGCAGCAGACGCAGCGCACACGTTTGTAAGCATTTGTCTAATTAAGCATGTGATGGGACACAAATTTGTCATAAACTGAACGAAATTGTCTACGTTCCTGATATTCGAGGTTATGTTATACTTATTTCAATTTGTTTTTAGGTTTCTACAAGAGTTTTGTGATGAAAAAGAAGCAGAAGATCAGAATGTGTGGAAATATTTTACACGGGTAAGTGTATCGCGTGCTACGACGGTCCAGTCGAGTCATCTTCGTCATGTCACGTCAATCATGTCATTGTCGTGTCGTCTGGCCAGCGTGTTACGGTGTTACAAATTACACTTAAATGCACAGCAAACGCACAAAAACTCGGCACGGTAACAATATGTTATAGGTTATACCAACTTACTTATATTTCAGCCACAAAACCCTAGAAATAACAAAAATCAAATAAAATCGAGAACATAACCTCAACAAATTATATTCGTGAATGTTGCGTGCACAGTGATAAATAATAACGAATGAAGCAAAATGATTTGGTGCAAGACTCGCCGTGTATATGTATTTGTACGAGTTTGAAACATTGGAAACTCGAACAATGAATTATTATCGAAGCAGGTGCAGTGCGCTGTGGTGCGCTTGGCATTACTCATTATGCAACGAAACGAACCAACATATAGAGCCCGAGTTCTCCAGCGGTAAGAAGAAACACTCATAATTCTTGCTGTATCTGCTCGCATCTTCTCTCCACCAAGTGCCTACTTATGGCACAGCCTCAGCCGAACACATTCTGATTCCCTATGCACTTGGCATATTCATATTTATATTCGTATCTCGAAACAAAACAAAACTTCCACAGAGACGGAAACGAAGCGCGAACGACAAGACAACGGATGATTAAAAGACTTCTTCTTCATCTTCTTCATCATCATTCTTTGGTGTTGGCCTGGGTGTGTTGGTCGGAGAGGAAGAACGAGAAATGTTTGAAAGAATGAAACGTCAAAAAGTCAGATACGATGTATGTGTATGTATGTGATAGTAATATGTAACACACGTTGCTTGTACGGCGTGGGCGGAGGACTCTTCATCAACTTTAGTTGTTTTTTAACATGCGCGTATAGTAATCAAAGCGTTACATGTGTTTAACACATTAAAATGAGTATTTATAAACTAAATTCAGCACGGGATGAATTTTAGTGTATAGTTGGTTGCATATCTAAGATAATAGTCGTTATTTATGCATATGAGTTTCCAATGTTTAATGCTTATGTACTCGTACTTAAGTAGGTATGGATCAATTTGGTTTTTGATTTAATTTCGACGCCGATTACCGCGCACTATATGCCCCAACGAATCATCATCGTCGGCGAGCGTAAATTTTGATCGATGAGACCACTTTTCGATGATTTCTCGAGCGCGGGACGCGTTGCGAGATTTTATTATTTATTAGTATGCATCAGGAAAACGCGCGCGCGCGGCGCAGAGCAATTTGGAAAAAAGGTACGGCGCGCGCGCTCACATCAACGAGAGCAATAAAGGCATATTAAGCGCGTTACGAGTTTCGGTGCGCCGAGGGTGATTGATGGCGGCAATTATACAAAAATTTTAAGTTGATAATTTCGAGCAGCGCGTTCGTCCAGCACTGAATATGCGTGAACATGCGGGAATATTCAGGAACTTGAGTCTAAAAGTTTTAAAGGTTTTAAGTTGGAAGTTTAAAAAGTCAACAGTGGAGGAGATGGTAAGTAATCGTAAGTTTTGCAGAAAGTAGTATTAACTTTTGCCTGCAACTTCTTTCTCGTGGTTTGATTCCATCCAAAAATCGCAATTTTATTTTAAAGAATTAAGAATTGCCTATGATGCACTTAAGCGCCATCCAGAATTTAATTATGTAACTATAACTATGATACAATCTTCATATCAACTTTCATCCCTTATTTAACACCCTTAAAATCACAATTTTCAACATTTTAATAGATATTCTGCTATTGAGAGCAAAGGCGAATTTAACAAATCCTAAATCATCAAAATCTGTCCAGCCGTTCTTGAGTTATTGATGTTGTAACTAACACGACTGTGTTTTGTATATTTACATTCACAAAAGGGCATTATATTACCACTTTTTAGAATTAAAATATTAATTAAACTGTTAGGTTATCGAGTAATTTAGAATTCATGAACCATTAAAGTATCCATTGCAAAACCAAAACATAAAAAATGATATCAAGTTGATTCTTAGGCCCTAGTATTATTAGCCGGCACGTGTCAATTTTCATTCGACCTGTATATGTATCAAATTCGCGTGAATTTTAATCATACGCCGTGTTGTTGTTATTTTTGGAGTGCGCCACGTGGCGTTCGTTTCAATTCTGTTTTGTCTCTTGTCCTGCAAGCGCAACGCTTCAACTCTAACCATAATACACAGCCGTTTTTTTATATTTTAACGAATTACATTAGGAGAGTTGAGTAGATTTTCGTCTCTTGTTTGGTGTAGGTATACTTGTATCTACAGCATAATATAGGTTATGATGTAATATAATACATAATAGTCTGCCAGAGTACTTTTTGTCCTGGTCGCATTGAACGCTGAACGAGCAGCGACGTCAAACAAAAAGTGCTCGTTTAATGGTCAACAGTGGAAGCAGGTTCTCTTGCGCGTTGATGTTTCGGTCGATGGTTTGATGAGTTAATGACTAATGAAGCGCACGTGCCGCACACGCCGCCTCTCCGCCTCTCTTGCGCCGGCCGGCGATCTACAGCGGAGTCGCTTTTTGTTCAATGTTCACATCTTCACATCGGCCCATCAACTTCATTAACTTCATCAACTTCATCAACTGCAATGATGGTATTAATGTGACGTCATTGTTTTACAAAAACAAAGCTATTTGTAGGTTGGTAATTAATTTTTTCGAATTGGTACCAAGTAAATTAAGTGTATCGGTTTTTAAATTCTTGTATTATTTAGCGGCGAATGCAAATGAAGGACAAAGGGTAAAGGGCGATGGACGAAGGGCGATGAGCTCGCTTTGAAGATCAAACGATCGTGCACGGCAAAGTGCCGTCTTTCGCCGGCAGAGAGCAAAGAAAAACCGATGAAAATCGGCTCATACCGGCTGATACCGACTGAACCACCTTTACTCGCGCCACCCCATGAAAGGGTGAAATGCGCAAAGGGTGGGTAAATGGTGCGGCGACTTTGTTTCCTTAAAAGTCCTCACTTTGGTAATTTCGCAACACATTTAAACTTTATTTTCCAAGATCAAAAAGAATTATTATAAAATTACGCATTAATATGTTTTAACTTTGAACGTTTTTTTGTTTTTGACATGTTGGGACAACAAATTTAATTTTTTCTTATTTAAGGATATATTTAAAATTTTAATTAAATGTTTAGGATAAATTCGTATAAGTAGCAAGTAAAGTTTTTAATATTGAGCCATTTTAATTTTGTGGTGCGTACGCACTAAGTCAATAGAATTCCCTGCTCGTACTCGACTTTGATATTAATCGAAACGTGCGCCTTCGTCCTTGGACACGTGTCATCTGTCCACATAATAAGGACCACCAAAGTACGACGCCCACAAACGCGTTCGATAATAAAGTGACACTGGTTCAAGGACAACAATGACACGAGGCATAGTAACCAAACTTTTTTTTGCATAGAAACAGGAAAAATTTCTATATAAAACAAAGTTGTGTTAGTTACAACATTTATAACTCAAAAACGGATGGACAAATTTTGATCATTTTTGGTTTGTTGGATACGTCTTTGACATGAATATGCGAATAGCTATTAAAATCTTGAAAATTATGAATTAAAGGGTGTTAAATAAGGGATGAAAATTGGAAAGGTGATTTAATTATAGTATTAGCTAAATTATTGAATATAAAATGGCACTAAAATGCAATATTGGCATTTCACAATTTCTTAAAATAAAGTACCTATCCAATTTTATTATAGGAATCGAGACATTCCTACATACTAATAACTACGCGGATAAAATCGCGCGCAAAAACTATAGTAGTAGATATATAAATACCTACATAGTAGAAGCTTGCATAGTTTGCACAAAACGACAGTTTTTTATTCTTTTTATGATTTACATGCACCGAGCATTGAAGTGGTGTTTTGAGGGTGGATGGCGCGCAGGGTTGTCGAGTGCCTGCAGCTCGTTAAGCAACACAAACGCTGCGCAAACACGTCATCAACGTATCGCTTTTCACAAAACAAAACACTTTCCAGCGCGTATTTTCATGTTTACTTAAACATAGTAAGTAAACAGAAATAAAGATTTTTTTTATCACTAGCAACTACCAGATGAATCCAACGTGGTGATTCTGATAAAGTTAAAGAAATTGTTATTAAGTTTGTTTCGAGTTGCAATGGTTGTGGAATGGTCCGCAGAGGAAAAGGCGCTTGTTTAGCGCTGGCTAAACGTTGATGTCACGCCTCGCGAAGCGTGTCATTCGACTTCGCGCGCAACTAACTGCACTCGTGCCCAACGAATCGAAAAATGCGCCCTGCGCTGCCACCACCAGACTTCTCACTCTTTTAGCTTGTACAAACAGTAAGAATTTCTTAATTTTTTTTACTGCAGCAAGAATATAAACGCAGGTAAAAATCATAATCGTAAATTTATATAGGCTATTGGCGTGTAGATGGCGTCATGTGGTAAAACTGCCAAAACAGTTTATAATTGATGATAAACCGTGAAATTAGCCTCAAATAAGACGAAATGCCACGAATTAATGCATCGCCGCGGCTTCGACGGGCTAATTGCATGGCATTAACGTGCAATCAACGAGCCAACGAGCCGGCGAGGCGCGCGCCCATCATCAACTTATCAAGCGCCGCCAAATTAGCAGATAATCGGTTTATGGCTCGAAAACCAGGCCAGTAGCCAATATCTACCACTACCGCTTGGCGCGCGGAATGTGTTGATGCTAATTTTCAACTTTATGGTATCACTTTTCAAACTATGCCCAAAACGCAAATTGACATAATGATAATAATTTATGTAAATTAAATTTTTAGTATCACCAAAATCAATTTATAGACATTTTTAAGAAAAACTGTATTTTTGGCAATTTTCTTAACAATATGAGAAAATAGATGTAAAATGAGGTTATGTTTTGACTCACCTGCCAAGTATTGCTCTCCAAAGTCGATAGGAACGTCATCTATGCGGCGAAACACGATGAAAACAAACGAGCGTTGTGTTTGTGCAGTG